ATAAACCTAAACTTACCTTTATATAAAGGCCTAAAGTTTATATATAAAGGTAAGTTTAAATTTATAATATTATTATTTAGCCTTTATATAAAGGTAAAATTAAGCCTAAAGTTATAAAAAGCTTTATTAATAAAATTTATAACTTTAGGCTTAATTTTACCTTTATATAAGGCTGTACTTGCCTTTATATAAAGGTAAAATTAAGTTTAAAGTTATAAATTTTATTAATAAAGCTTTTTATAACTTTAGGCTTAATTTTACCTTTATATAAAAATAAGTTTAGGTTTATAATATTACTATTTAGGTATTAAGGCTAAAATTAAGCTTAAAGTTATAAATTTTACTAGTAACTTAAATACTAAGTATTTTATAAGCTTATTAAAGCTTTACTAGGCTATACTTACCTTTATATAAGGCTATACTTACCTTTATATAAAGGCTATACTTACCTTTATATATTTTATATATATAAAGGCTATATTTATAACTTTAGGCTTAATTTTATTTTTATATAAAGGCCTAAATAATAGTATTATAAACCTAAACTTATTTTTATATAAAGGTAAAATTAAGCTTAAAGTTATAAATTTACTAGTAACTTAAATATTAAGTATTTTATATTATAAGCTTTATATAAAAACCCTAAGCCTAATTTTTTAAAGTAAGTATTTAACCCTTTATATAAGAATAAAAGGCAAAACCCTGGAATAATAATTAAAATAAATAATAATTTTATTAATTTATATAATAAGTAAAATTAACAAGGTGTTAAGGCCTTTATACAGGATATTAAAAATAATAAAGCAAGTAAAATTAACAAGGTGTTAAGGCCTTTGTACAGCACATTAAGAATAGTAAAGCAAGCAAAATTAATAAGGTATTAAGGCCTTTATATAGCACATTAAGAATAGTAAAGTAAGTGGAATTAATAAGGTGTTAAGGCCTTTATATAAAATAAATCTTTTTTTTAAATAAAAATCCTAAACTTTATAAAGCGCTTAACATCCTTAGGTTAAATTTAATAATACCTTTTTATATAATAGGCAATACTATTATTTTTTTACTTTTCCTATATAAAAAGCTTGGCTGGATTAAAAAGGCTAATTTTTTTTAATAGCCTGTTCCTTAGTATTCTTTAAAAAAAAGACTAAACACTTTTTAAAAGCTAGTTCTCCCTTAATCTTGGGGCCTTGTATAAAAGCTGGTTTTGCCTTAATTTATGGCTCCCGTACGGCTGCCTTTTCTTTAGGCTTAGGCTCTGCCTTAACCTTTAGCTCCCGTATGGCTGCCTTTTTCTTAGCAGACCTCCTGGGGGGTGTTTAATCTGGCTTTAGTATAGACTTAATAGTATTCTTTATAATAATCACATAGATTAAATAATCCTTCTTGCCTGGAACCTTGTACTAATTAAAAATAGTAGTTATTTTTTATATTTTATTATTTAATTACTAAAGGTAAACTAAATATAGCTGGGATTAAATTATAGTAGCAAGGCGTAAATTATTCTTATTTTAAAGTTTATATATATTTTTTTTTTTATTTTTTAAATTAAGCAGGCCCTAATAAAGTCCTTATATAAAATAATTATATAAAAATAAATTTATATAAAGCAAATATTTAAAAAAAGCAGTTAATTAAATTAATAAAATTAAATTTTAAAAATTAATTTAATATATTAATAAGATTATAGGACAAAGGCTTTTAAATTTTATAATTTTTTTTTATATAAAAAGGTAAAATTTAACCTTGCAAGAAGTTCCTTATATTAAAATTTAAGTTATATAAATAATAAACTTTTATTAATAATTCTCCGCTCCTCCTGTATGGTTAAAATACTAAAAGTATTTAAAAAACTTTTTTTTAATAATAAAAAAGCAGGGGCAAAGACCTGGAGGGCTTTTTAAAAAAAAGTAAAAGGTATATTATTATTATTTTTAATTAAAATAACCTTTTTACTAGGGGGAGCCAGGTTTTTTATATAAAACTAGGGGTTTATATAATACTAAGGGTTTATATAAAATTATAAAGGGGGTAAAGGCTTATTATAAATAAGGTATAATTTATAGCTTAATATATTATTATAAGGCTATTTAGTTATAAGGTAAAATTTTAATAAAGGTATTTTAAAAGGTTATATATAAAAAGGTTTTTTTTATTAAAATAAAATAAGTTTTTATATTTTTATATAATAACCTATAAATAGGGTTAACTAAGTTAAGCAAGTATATTATTATTTTTATTAGGCTTTTTATTATACTCCACCTTTTTTATTTTATTTAAAATAAACTATAAATCCTAGTTAAATATACTAGTAAGCTTTTTTAAAAGCTTAAGCTTAGGTTTAAGCTTATTTTTAATATAAGTTTTAAGCTTAGTTTAAAGGGTAAGGTATATTATATAAAAAAAATAAATAAGTAATTATTATTATTTTTAGCACTTTTTAAAGGGCTCTTAAAATTAAAGCTAAGCTTTAAAAGCTTTATATATATTTAAGTATAAGTTTTAGCTAGTAAATACTTATTAAAATTTAATATATAAAAATTAGTTAAAATTAAATTATATTTAAAATAATACTTACCCTAGGCCTATATATTTTTTTATAATAATTTAAAAAGCTTTAAATTAAACTTAATACCATGGTTTTATACACTAGCTACTAGGTAGTAATAATTTATAAAAAACTTACTAGTAATAAGGTATAGCTAGTTTTATTACTTATAAATAAGGTAGTTATTTTAGGTTTATATAAAAAATATAATTTAAATTAAAATAATAAGTATATAAATTATATATAAAGTAATTTAATTAGCTAAAATATTTTTAAAAAAGTGCTTATTTTATATAAGGGTTTAAAAGTATGCCTATTAATATAATTAATATAAGATTAAAGTTATTATATAAAAACTTACTTAATATTAAAAAAGTAAACCCTTAGTTAACTACCCTTATTAAGCCTTAATTTATTAGTTTATAGTACTAGTTTTATATAAATAATAATTTTTAATAAAAATTTTAAAATAATATAACTACTAGAGCTTGTGCTAGGCCTTAACTAAAAATTTTTTTTTTTTAATTAAATTATATAAAGCAAGGCTGCCTTAAAGTAACTTTAAATATATTTAAAAATTACCTAAGTATACTTATAGTTATATAAAAGCTAATACTTATATAAATTTAAATAATATATTAAAAGTAGGTATTAATAATTATATAAATCTTAATACTATATAAAGCTAGCTTAAAATAATTATTAATAAATTAAATAAAATTTAGTTTAAGTATAATATAAGCACCCTAGTAATACTAAAAATTATATAAGTATTTTTATATAGCCTTAAGTACTAGTTTTTTATATATTAAAAAAAGCTAATCTTTATATAAAGTTAGTGGTAAAAAAAATATAAAAATAATATATATTTTAAGTTACCTACACTTTTTAATTAATAATTTTTTATTTTAAAAATAACTTACTAGTATACTTTATTTATAACCTTTAATTTAGCTAAATTTAAGCTTTATATAAAAAGTTTTTATAACCTTATTTACCTTTTTTTTATTAAAAATTAGATTTTAGGTTTAATATAATATTTTAAGCTTTATATAAATATATTTTAATATATAAGCCTAAATTTTAAACCTTTTAAAATATAAAATCTTAAAAATATTAACTTTATTAAGGCTAATTTAATATATTAAAACTTTAATTTAAGTATAAAGGGCTAAGTTATTACTTAAAAATATAATATTATTTAAAAATATATTTTATTTAATACCTTAATTATAAAGGTGTATTTAAATTATATACCTGCTAACTTTAAAATAATGCTTATACTTTAAGTATAAAGTAATATTATTAATATAAAAACTAGTTATAAAAAGATTTTTAATCTTTTTTTAATAAAAATTAAGATTAATAAATGGCTAACCTATTATAAAGGCTTTAAAAATTATATAATAACCTAGCTATATTAAAGGTAAAATTTTTTTTTAAGGGGTAAATAAAAAGTGGTAAGCAAAGCGGTATACAGTATTTACACAAAGCAAAGTTTTTGCGTGTTTGTCGATTTAGTCCTCCGTATGCAGGTGGGAGTGGGCACGGCGGGGACAAGACCAGTTTAAGCCGAGTTCAAAGAATACTACAGGACAGCGGGCAGCATGGCATAGATGGATGGTGGGGGTCCATTGCGGACATGACTGAATGCGCCCCTCGCTCCGAGCCTCCACCACTAAGCGTCCAAGTTGAAAAGAGCCCAAGACTCAAATAGCAAGGATGGGCAATAATGAAAGACTTGACTTGAAAGCCCCCAATAAGCAAAACTCCAGCCTACGTTAGCTCCCGGTCCCGGCAGTGGAGATGGCTCCAGCCCCAGCCCCAAGCCCCAGGAACCAATTCATGCCCCACGTGCCCCGGCTGAGCCCTGAGAGACGCCGGCTTGCTAACCTCGTGTGTGTCAGTTCTGCCAATCGACGTCTATCATTGGATGAACGAAGACAATTCGGACGGGATTGTGTTAGATAATGCTAATTGTCGTGGGGTGCTATTATTGCGAAATCGAATTGTTAGGTTCCCTTGCTCTCCCAGCACTGCGTGGCAAGTGGCAAGCTGACTGTCCTCACTGTCACGACTCACTGCGAGTAAGAGGGAGAGCCCGGGTAAAGCCCGGCCTCTGAGCAACCGAACTGCGATTGACTTTGGGGGCTGCATACACACGTGGCTCGTAGCGATTCCGCGATTCCGTTCCGTTGTTGCAGGTGGAGAGGGAACTGGACTTGATAGTGCTTACGAGGACGCCAGAAAAACCTTGGTGCTATGACCAGCACGCCATTATTAGTTGATCAAATTAGATATGTACATGGCCAAATAATAAGATGGATGGCCGGCCCTGAACCTGAACGGGCTACTATGCCGAAAAAAACCCGCTGAACACCCTGGTATCTCAATGCTAATCTAAATAAATGAACGGAAACTGGAAACGCGAGGAAATAAAACTGAAACTGAGTCACCGGTTATTTGCTGCCAGGAACTCGCAGAATGCTTTTTGGTCTAATCCGTCAGTAAGCCTCGGTTCAATCGGTTGGTATAGCGAGAAAAAACGAGAGAACATACCATCCGCATCCAAAAACAAAATACTCAACGTTTTCATCTGCGCCAAATGATCGAAGTTCGGCTGTAATTGTAGCACCACCGGCCGCCTCGAGTTCTTGCCCGGCGTGACGCTGTCGATGCAGTTCACTATGGCCCAGTTAGCACTCACCCAGCAATCCATCCATCAACCTTCGCAAAGTAGGCAAACGCACCCGGAATAGAAACATATCTCTTCCCGCCCCTCCTTAGCGAATTCGCAAAGAACAGGATCACCAGCTTCCCCGTGGCATCCTGCCTCAGGATCCTCAGATTCTGCGAGATACACTCCTCCCCGCGCCCCTTGCTCTTCGCCTCCGCGATCCCCGCTATGAAAACGATTCTTGACGCCAGTATCAGCTCCTGGAAGTGCACGCAGTCTGTCCAGTCTTCGAATGTGTAGGAGAGCTGCGTCGCGAAGACCGTCGCGCCGGTTTGGACGGTCTGCTCGTCGAGGAAGGAGACGCGTAGGGAAGCGGGGGATAAAGGCTCCGAAGACGTCTTCGGGTGCTCGAGGTGTGGGACGGGAAGGCGGGTTGTGTTGACTGGTCGTCTAGATTAGCACTGTGGTAGGTTTCTTTGTTGGCAGGGCATGGCCGCAATGGGACGGGGAGGATAAAGAGGGGTCGCACAACTATGCAAGAACGCCGTCTGCTGCCCGACGGCGCCGCCCAGCTCCAGGCACTTCAGGGCGCCCGTGAAGTCCTTGCGGATGGTGATGGTTGTGTAGCGGAGTTTGAAGAGGCGGGCGCTGCGGACGAAGGAGCTGCATGCATCACATTAATAATCCAGCCATTCCCATGCAGCTATTTGGCAGGAAGGAGTGGGCGTACACTGTAACCGCCGGGTTAAGAGGTAACCTCGCGACCTCATCATTAAGTGACCCCTCGCGGTCGCGCGGTCGGGAGGCGGGAGAGACGCCTGCTGGAGGCGCGATTGAAGCTGAGGGGGACGGATAGGTTGAGGGTGTAAGGGAGGGCGAGAACGGTGGTTCGGAGGCGAAGCTCAGCGATGCGGAGACGGAGGAGCGGGTTGATGTTGAGGTTGAGGGTGTGGAGGAGATTGTTGTTGCGGTGCTTGTTCGTCTGCCTGCGGCTGTGACGGGGAAGGGCCAGTCTGGTGAGTGCTCGTGGGAGTGAGGGAATGGGTTCATGATGCAAGCGAAGGCCAGTAAAGAGACCTCGAGGTGCGATGGTCTGAAGAGGCAGGTGGGTGGAAGTCCGTCGAAGACTCGAAAGCGCTGATCGGCGGATCACTGCTTGATCGGCGAGGAGACTGACATGTCAATGAAAGTGACAGTAGTGCTAATGGCTGGAGGCACAGATGGAAAGCATGAGGGTTGCATTCGGTGCCTAAGTAGCCTCATCTCTGGGAGTAAGCTCAACAGCTGACGGTGCATGAGTAGCTAGCAGCTGAGCGCTAGCAAGAAAAGGCCATGCCATTGAGAACGAGGGTTAAAAAGGCAAAGGGGAATAATATGGAACTGATGCTAAGTCAAGAGTCGAGACAAGGTGACTGGTTAGGGCCGGGGTTGGGGCAACGTGGGTGAATGGATGGCTGCCGCTGGCCCAGACGGTGGAGCACCACTAACGCATAAAAGGACTGCCTCGTGGCAAGATTTCTTAGCTGCTCTTAGCCAGATAAGCGATGCTTGCTTCCATGGCCTCGATCTTCCATCTTCTCCGTTGAAACACCAATTAATTAGTCTATAAGGCTCTATGAACAGAACTGGACAGCCCACTGCAACCGGGTATCCTAGCAATAAACATCCAAAACAATGATCCAACTCCGATGAGCCAACGATATGCAAAGAATAAACATTTCCAAAACGCCGAAGGTGAGATGCGCGATATGAACGGAGATTAGCTGACTGGCCAGCTACTGCTTCTGTGCAATAATGCGGTAGCTCGTCGTCACCAGCCGCATCTTGTCCATCTTGACAAACGCCTGCCCGTCCAAGCACAGCCGGTTGATCAATGTCTTGAAGTGTCGCGGAAGCACATGTGGCTTGACCAGACCGAGGATGACCTGGCGCATCGACCGGAAGTACAGGTCGACCTTGTCGATCAACGGCGCCTGCAAATCGCCCACACTCGCGTTATCCGATCGCAGCACCGTGAAGCCCGCCTCCGCCAGCGCAGCCTCCAGACTCTCCGGCGTCGGCGTGCCGACAGCGCCAATAAGCGGCTTGACCCGGCGCATGAGCTCGGCATGCTCGGCATTCGAGGGGTCATAATCAGGCAAACTGACCCAGTCGAGGAGCGAGATCCTCGCACCGGGCTTGACGACACGGTGAATCTCGCGGAAGAGCGCAGGGAGGTCCTTGCAGAGACTCAGCGCCTGGATCTGGTAGAACGCGTCGAAGCTATCATCGGCAAAGGGAAGAGGCAAGCTGTTGAAATCCTGGACGACAAACGAATTCGACTCGAACCCCATCTGCGCATTGAACGCCTTCGCCTGCGCGATCTGGTTCGGATCGATATTGAGCCCTGTGACCCGCGCCCCAGAGTACTGCGCCATATGCGCCGCGACCCGGCCCCGTCCACACCCAAGATCCAACACCCTATCGCCTCTCTTCAGCCCGATGTCCTGCGCGACCGACTCCTCGTACAGCAGCTGGTTCTCGCGGACGGTCGCCTTGGCGCTCATGAACGGGGGGATGTACATCTTCTCGACGTCGCCGAGGGCGCAGAGGTGGTTGAGCACGCCGTAGTACGCCTGCAGGCAGTCGCCGACTTTGCTTTGGTAGTCGGCGCCCAGCACCTCGACCATGTGCTTCTCGTCCGACCAGTCCAGGTTATAGATGACGTAGGAGGCCATGAAGTCGTCGACCTGTTTCGGGGTCAGGTGCTGCAGGTAGCGGAAGGACTTCCAGAAGGTCCTCCATCGCTTGGGGGAGGCGGCGTTGCGCAGGTCCGGGAGGGCGTCGAGGTTCGCTTGCGACAGTTGCACGGATGCGAGCTTTTCTTTCTCGGCGGCGACGACGTCGACGGAGCTCTCGGAGCTGCGGCCGGACCGGTGCGATGCGAGGGTTGTCATGGCTGGAGTCGGGGAAGAGCGGGAGCTGGTAAAGATCTAGCTGAAGGTAGGGATGGTAAGGTTGGCATTCACGCGATGGAAACAGCCCGGAGCAGGTAGGGTGGCCGGTGGCCGTCGGGCAGGACCGATTTATAGGTCGGCTTAGCGAGCGGCTTTTTCCTTTTTTTTCTCATCCATCTCGAACCGCACGGGCCGAGATATACGGATGAGCCGTCTGAGCTGCCGTTCTAGCAGTAGCAGGGTGGCATGAGTGGGCGCAAATGGGACCAGATCGATGGCGCCGGAACTGTCGGAAGGCGCATCCAGCCCTGCCTGCAGTGTTCCAATGATGAGTCAATGACTGTCCTCCAGCTGTACAGCGTCCCTGCCTTCTTCTTTGCATGCGACCGATGACCCTACAGCTCTACATCCGGTCCATACTCCCATCTCCTGCTTTGAGTGGTCATCAATGGCATTCAATCGTTGCCGTTAAGTATAGAGCTCCCATATTTCCAGACCCACCATTCAATGCTTGATCAGCAGTCACTGGACGGCGTCTTCTGATTGGCCGGCTCTCTTCAGCCTTGCCCTATAGGGATCACTCGGAGACATCCAGCTTTTCTTCAGAGGATTTCTGGTACGGCCGGCCAATTATTAATCTGCTGCAAGGCCCTGATCAGGAAGCTGGCTCCGCTGCTTGCCGCCTCGTCCCGATTCCCTGCAGCCCTCCGCTGCTTCTGCTTGCCGTATTTCCGTATGACTCCGGAGTATTGAACTGATGGGCTTTTTCTTCCATTGTGGCGCATGATCCTTGGGCTTTGTCACCAATATCCATGGATGTGAGATTGGCCGAGTCTCCGGGAGTAAAGAACATTGGCAGCCGTTAAGCATACGGAGTCTGGCAATGCCGAGTGCAGAATCCGCAGCGTCATGAGACCCTGGGCCCTAGCTGGGTCTCTCCACCTCGGCAGCCGATCGCAAGCTCCGATTCCACCGATATCGTTTGCTTGAAGCATTTCCCATCCTTTCAGCGGAGTTTTCGTCTTCTGGATATTTACCCCCTGTCTCTGCTCCAACTCTTTGCTCATTGTTATATGTGCTTCTTCTCGTTTATACTTTTTGCAGCATGGCGTGATGCAGGACGGGATGCACAGCTGGCGGCGCATCCCGCCTCGCTGCGAAGGCCGATATCCTTGGCTTCAAGGCTTCACTTTCTAGCATAAAATTTAGATTATCAACCTGCAGACGGGAAATGTCATTCCGTCCCCATATCCTAAACGGTATCGCTGCATATACGGTTCCCGCGCAAAGCGATCCCCGAGAAATCTGGGACCTTGGCGACTGCTGTCAAAGGCAAAAGGTACTTTCGTTCTCACTCTAGTCTCTCGCATTTATCTCGGTCTACTATCCTGGTTTCTCCCGTTAGGTATACTCAGAGTTGGATGGCCACGTGACCATTCCATACATGTCTATATATTCCGCGACCTCAAAGCGCCGTGAACATCTTCAAGTTAGTATAACCATCATCGGACATCAGTCGGAACTTGCTACCACACCCGCGAAGTCAGGATAAGCTTATATTTAAGCATCCGCCCACCCTCGGACCCTTCAGACCGTGGCATCCATACAGATCGCAGTGGCTGAGTCGGAGTTTGCTGGATCCACTCAATCAGGCAGCGAGGTTCTTCATCTAAGCCCTGGCGGCACTTTCAAATGCTAGCTTCAGTCAGGGTAGTTGTGGCGAGCCCTTCTGATCATTAATACCGAATAGGGCTAGTGCCTGCTCGAGGAGGTCAGAACTGTGATAACGAATGACTGGCGTAATTCCCTGGCACATGGATCAGAAATGGGGCATCGGTGCTCTGACCTCGGGAGCCCCGCGGTGTATGGAATGCAAGTATGTACAACCCTACGTACGCGGGCCATGACCCTCCATCACGCCTCTGTCCCCATATATCGGAGCCAATGAACAAGGCTGGTAGAATCTGAATACGTAAGGTGCTTTCGGACCCAGCGGACCCGGACGATATAGGTATTTCAGGCCAGCTATCCTCGGCAGGACGCAGAAGTCACCGTGTGCCGGCCACTGGGTTTGGTGCTTGGTATTTCAATTGATTCCGTCGGTATTCAGTCATCTTTCCAAGGTAGCGGCACGGAACATACCTGGCATTGGTGATATGAGCATGAGATATGATGATATAATCCAGTAATTGGGGCATAAAATGCGAAGAAGCTTACATTCGGACCGATGCTTTAGAATCCTCTGTGCACTATAATAGGTAGACCTTTAGATTCGAGGTTTCTTTTAGGCAGTGTAGCGCATATATAATCTCGGGTCTCCTTGTAAGGAAATGCCACACTTGTACTGACAATATTCGAGTTTTCCAACTAGTCAAGGAGAGGAAGGGTCTCTTTAAGTTCCTGGCGACTGTCGCACTCATCCAGGGCATCAATAATTATTACTATCGTGAATAAGGGATAGAGGCCGTGATCTGATTTTTTGTCGAGCTACAGCGTCGATCGCTGTGACAGGCCCTTTCCCGCAACATCCCTTTCTGGCTCGATTGCCGCGCTGATACGGGGGAATCTATATCAATTCCAGGAACGAGGGTTGAGTCTCTTTCAGTATAGACAGCTCCTGCTCACCTTGCTCTCGGAGGTTGGTTATTATGCTGGCTCGATTGAATAGCTTTCCCTACCTATACCTAGAGCAATCCATCACTGCAATCGTCGTGAGATCATGGTGGAGATTACAGACATATGGATAAGACGATCACAATTGGAAGGATGTTGATGAGGCTGGACAATCTGAGCCAGTTGCTGGAGAATCTCGACCAAGCATGGCGTAACTAACTACACAACATCATTGTGTATCTCATACCTCATAATCCATTCAGATACTGTGCGTAGATGGCGATAGCTGAGCTTTGAGTATATTGCTGCTGCTGTCGTGATCAAACATGCCTATGGTGTGAAGAACTACCCGACCTATGGTCCCCAGGGGATAACTGCGTGGTAATTAATATTGTCTTTCTGCTTAGGGAACGCTATTCTTGAGTTCTTATTCATTGGTTTACACTGCTTCCCCCCATTTCTCCAGGTTGTAATTCCGCAGCCTGTTGGATAAAACGATTACCTGTCTATCTTTTCTGCACCCACGTTATGTTCGTTATCTGCTAAACAAAAACCCCTTCCAGAAAAACGACGTAAAACACCAGCAATGAAACAAGTTCTATTACAGTTAAGTTCACAGGAAAGAATCTCTTGAATCGGTTGTAAACTACAGTAGATATAGAAAAGAACCAGTGTATGGACAACAGTACAATAAGGACCGTCATGGTCTGTAGAGCAAAGGGATTGCCAAACTCATTATCTAGATAATTAGAAACCCCCCCGGCTTCGAGTAATTGAATGACCCTTCTCGGAGTCTACATGGTGCGGTGTTTTGCCTCTTGCCCTTGCCATCTTTTCCCCGTGCTGCTTGAAGCTGAGCTGGACAGGGACTGTGCTTTCTTATGACCTCCGGCTCTGACTGTGTCCGTTCCCTGTAGTATATCTCTGATCTGAAGTTACACAATACCCAAAGCACCCAGCAATCCAAGCACCTTCACCCCTAGCTCCTCTGCAAAGCCATCCTCCTGATCCTCACGTACATTGCTCGCGTCACCCAGAATCCTGTCCACCAACCCCTCAACAGCCCTTCTACCACCCTGCCCAACCCCCGGGATCTCAAGCCCACGGCCTCCATCCTCCTCGTTACCGTTAAGGCTACTAAGCGCCATCTCCACAAGTTCCCACACCGGCTTCGTGACGCTAATCCTAATAGCCTGGAACGCTCTCTCCCAGTACTCCAGATGCTGATCCTCATAGACGACCGACTGCCCAGACGCAGTAAGCTTGATATTCCCCTCTCGCAAGTACGGTATCTGCTCCTTGACGATATCGCCAATGTCACGCTCCAGCGCGGTGCCGTTGAGAGCGGCGCGGATGCGCAGGCTGTTGCTTCCAGGCGTGAGGTTGTTGATGCTCGTTGTTGCGGAGCCGATGATGTTGTTTGCGGCGAGGATGGAGAGGGTTACGTCGCCCTGGTTTACTGTTAGTCTAGGTAACGCGTTCTAGGCTGAACACAGCCTGTGTATAGGCATAGGAAAACGTACCAGTGTCATGCTCGCCGGGGTGGGATTGGCAATGACGAGCTCGACGTAGATGTTATTCCCCTGCTCGTCGCGTTCTCCGATGCTGAAATTGCGGACCTGGAGAGCTTGGAAGTTGTTGAAGCCTGTGTGATGCTCTCATCAGTACTGCCGTTGTTCGACTCTTGCATTGCGCAGGCCATACATACCAGGGAATGCCACCTCCTTCACGATATCAAGGCTGCTTTTCAACCCGGCCATGCGAGCTTTGGTCTTTGCACGCATCGCAACTCTCATCATCGGATTGTAGGCGGCGTCCTCGATTAACCTCGCGAACTCATCTACGTCTCCGAGCTGCATTGTCTGGTTCGTGAAAGTCACTCTTTGCTTGCCTTTGAACCTCTGCTTTGGAAGCTCAACTCGTGCAAGTGCAGGTGGGACCTGGTCGTCAGTGTCGGGCCGAGGACGAAAAACCTCTACGTGCGTCGAGTCGAGTTGGATTTTCAGGCCTTCGGGGACTCTGATCTCGGTGAATGCGGAGAATTGGATGCTGTTGTTTGTGGGAGCCATCAGGGAGAGCTGTAAAGGTGGGACTGGGATCTTGTTGAGGAGGTAGGTTGCGAATGCTGGGATGGCGTAGATGATACTGGTCGAGCATTAGTACCGGATGCTTTATGCTTAACTGGACACGCAGGGTTTCGGGTTCCACCTACATGACAGGAAGCAATATGGCAAGCAGAACGACGACCAAAATGCCGTAACAGATAAAGTACCGCGCGATGTGGTCGTTTCCGAAACCTCTTCCGGGAGCGTGTAAGCAATCCAGTGCACTTGAGTCGAAGGTTTTGGATGGGAATGAAGGACGAACTTTATTTTTGATCTCTGCTTCTTCTCGCTCACCTGCTTTTGCTTCTCTACCGGCTGTACTGCGCTTTCATTCTTCTTACGAACTTCTCCCTCGCCCTTCGGCGGAACTTGCATGGGTTCTTGATTCGACTCGACGGCCACGGACTGTCTAGCATTCTTTCCTACGTTGAAGACAACGCCCATGATCTGAAGTAGGCCCTGCGAAATCTTCAGTAAAGAAACAATGGCACATTTGGGAGGAACAAGAACGTACCAAAAACGCACTACACCCCCACCCCAACGCCATCAAAAACACAAACGCCGTCCCGGCTTTATACGTAGCGCAACTCACTTTACTCTGGTCAGCCGGTCGAAATCCATAGCAGGGCGAGTCGGTAAACTGAATGGAGAGTGCAAAACCCGGACACAGCGCAGTCGCCAGGGCCCAGAACGCATCGTACAGAAAGTTCGGACGGGGTGGGACAAGGCACGCAAGGACGCTGAGCGATGAGATAACAATGGTGTAGATGAGCAGGTCGTTGGCCCATGTTGTGTTTGTGAGGAGCTTTGCGTTGATGCCGATTGTTATGATTGAGGAGATGAGGATTACGCCACGGGAGATGAGGCTCAGTGTGGTCAGGCTCGAGATGAGGCGCATGGTGCTGGTCTGGAGGTGACATGCACCGAGGGTTTGCAAATGGTAACTGCGCCGCAGTCGTCGGATCGCCAAATGGCGAAGGTGAGAGATAAGACGGGGAAGTTCTTTGCAGATTTTTGGCGAAGCCTTTTCACGATTCGTGGACCAAGGACGGCGCTCACAGCCGTGTTAGAGTTGGACAGACACAAACATGAGCGGTTAAGGACTTGAACATGGCAGTAAGGATTTCGATACTCTCTAACGAACCTTGGGGATGGTAAGGAGTGGTTATATCTAACATGTGTAGTGGCGAGGTCGTTGCTGTCAGAACTCAGAATTGGATCCCGACATTGTGCTACGATTGTACTACGGTATGCGAGTAAGGAGGCTTAGCCCTTGCCTGAGGGCTGTCAAGTAGGGAGGGGTCCGTTGAACCTGTTAGAGGACTGAGACGCTTACCCAGGTGTCGAATTGCATTCGTCTGTGGTCTCGCACGGAGATAGCAAAACGGATGACACTGTTACCCACATATTGACAACCACATTTCTATACCCCGACACAGGCCAATTTGGGTGGTCCCTCTCTTCCAGCCGTTACACTATTGGACTTTACAGTCGTACCAACGTCCAAAACTCAACCGTCGGGCATGCAAGTGGTCTATGTCCGCGTATAAGGAGACCCATCCCATCGGCGTCAGTCACCCCCCGGAACCTTAAAATCCACGGGACGTCAAGGGGGAATTACAGAGGCCGAAGAAACATTGCAGATTTTGTCTAATTTCTCTCGAAGCCGGGTTTATTGATCACCCTATTAAACACCTAGATAAAACTTGATCCTGCGGGTGGTACGTACCTGCGCCAAAATGATCACCCATTATTCAAAAAAACAAACACGCTTGTGCTAACATCATAAATATATTACAATGCTTACGCAGAATAAGGTGGATCTTAAGCATCTGAGGACCAAGGAAGGAGCTCTTGCTGCATAATTCCGAGGTCCCCGACAATAGACGACGAAAGCTTCTCTCCGAACTCCAGTTTCTTCAGTTGCAGTACAATACAAACCTACAGGCCAAGCACATGACACGTTTCATCTATCATGCAAAGCCTCTTGAGGGAATCCTCCCTTGCCTCAAGGCGGGCATATTCCCCTTCCATCCGCACTCCCGTTTCAGCCTGAGGCAAAGTCTCGAGAATTAATCCATGCTAGATCATTCCGGCCCAAATTGACTTCTATACAAGCCGCCACACAAACGCTTATCCGAATCACAGCTACGACAGAAGCATGCCTATGGTATGGTAGGTGTTTCTCCGAGCGGGCCAGTCTGGCTCCCATACTCGTCCTCCGAACAACCAAAGGAATATGGTGGTCGGCTAGGGCATTCAACGCTAACTAATTAATCTATGAGGATTAGTATCGATCCATCCAGCCGAGTGAGATGTTCGACTTTTGTCGCCGGTGCGGCTCAGACCGACCTATCACCTTGATTTTCTGGGCACTTGGAGTGAAGTACATGCGCATCATACGATCGATGGCAGCCAAGGATAAGTGTCTTGAGGACCTGCAGAATCCAAGTGATTCCAAAGCCGCGGCCAGTATTTCTCCGCAGAAGAACGGACTAGAACCACGCGTTGCTACGTTGTCCCAGGGTCCCCTGTCCCAGAAGCCCCGAGCTAGCCCTAACAAGAATAAGGGGACCGCACGCCAACACCACCCCGCCATCCAACGGGTTAGCTATATTCCTCTACCTTATCTCTGAGGCGACAGGGATTGGCTCTCAACTCTTCCCGTTTAAAGTCCTCGTTCTGCCGAATTCCTCTCTTTGCCTCTCGGGATCGACCCGCTCTTGCTACACTGCATTTCAATCATGTCGATAGCAGCGGAGAAGAAAACCCCGCCGGTTTACAGCGAGCCTCATGTTGCAGGACTCTCGGGTTCCAGAAGCGAAAAGAAAAGAGATGATGTTCATCTGGCGCGGTTGGGCAAGAAGCCGGTTCTTCGCGTGAGTCGGTAAAGATCGTGGACGATCTACCTGGTAGATTGTTGATAACGGGGTGATTCCAGCGCAACTTTGGACTGCTGTCGATGCTTGGATTTAGTTGTACGATTCTCGTCACTTGGGAAGGGCTCACTTGGTATTGTGATCGGTCTCTCTGACCCATAGAACAAAGTTAACTATTGGCATAGTTTGTTTCTTCAGCCCTTGACCAAGTACGATTCCCTTCTGCTCCTTCATCGGCAGACGACATTAATCTAGAGTTCATAGTGGCGGTCCCGCGGGCGCAGTCTACGGCTTCATCTTCGTCTGGATAGGCACCGCTTGTGTCTTTGTGGTTCTGTCCGAGTTGGCTTCCATGTCAGTTCACCGATCCCTAACCACGTAAGCCAGCTAATCCGGTTGTCATTCCCAGGGCTCCAACTTCCGGGGGCCAGTACCATTGGGTCTCCATGTTGGCTCCTCGCTCGAGCGTCAAGTTCCTGAGTTACATATCTGGTGCTCCTCCTCGCGATCTCATATTCACCAGTACTAATAGATCTAGGCTGGCTCACCGTCATCGGCTGGCAGGCAACCTTCGCGACGGCCTGCTATCTCACCGGCACGATGATCCAAGGCGTCGCCATCCTCACGCATCCGGATTACATCCCGGCCTCCTGGCATCCGACATTCTACTACTGGGCCGTTGTCGCTTTCGCGCTGGCAATCAACGTCGTCGGGCGGGGTGTGCTCCCCAGATTCGAGACGCTAATGCTCGCCGTCCATCTCCTCGGTTTCTTCGCCGTCTTGATTCCACTCGTTTCGCTGGCTGAGAAGAGCTCGACTGCAGATGTGTTTGCCCAGTTCGTCAACCAAGGCGGCTGGTCGTCGGACGGGCTGTCGTTCTTCGTCGGGCTAATCGGGTGTGTTTTTGCGTTTGCGGGTGGTGATGCTGCTGTCCATGTACGTCTTAGCCCCCTCCACCATGCGGAGGTGAGAAGACAAGTTTACTGATTCTGGTGCTAGATGTCCGAGGAAATCGAAAACGCGACCGTCGTCGTCCCCCGCTCCATCCTCCTCAGCGTCCTAATCAATGGCTCCCTCGGCTTCGGCATGCTCCTCGCCGTCCTCTTCAGCCTCGGGGACCTCGATGCAGCGCTTGCCTCTCCAACCGGATACCCGTTCATGGAGATCTTCCTGCACGGGACGAGCTCGGTCGCAGGCGCAGCAGCCATGACCTCCATCATCATCACCGTCTGCATCTGCTCCTCGACCGGCATGATGGCCGCGACATCGCGTCAATTCTGGTCCTTCTCGCGCGATCGAGGTGTGCCCGGTTGGAGGGTCTGGAGTCGGGTGTCTACCTCGACCGCGATCCCGATATGGTCTGTTCTGCTGACGACGGTCGTGTCGGTGCTGCTCGCGCTGATACCAATTGGTTCGGCCGTTGCGTTCAACGACCTCTGCGCTATGTCTATCTCCGGTCTATATCTGTCGTACATTCTCGTCGCGGGTCTACTCTTGTGGAGGCGATTGACGAACGAGATATCCGTTCCCGCCGTGTCGCTATTAGCCTCTGATGTGGACTCTGTCGCCGAAGAACCGGTCAATACCATCGGCGCGAAACTCGTCTGGGGCCCTTTCCATGTCCCAGGCATCTGGGGCGTTTTGATTAACATATTCGCCATCATCTACGCGCTCATCGCTGTGTTCTTCAGCTTCTGGCCGACTTATAGCTCTGTCACTCTGGAGACGATGAACTTTAGTGTTGTGGGCACGGTCAGCGTGATTCTGCTGAGTGTGCTGTACTATTTCGTTCGTGCGCGCCATGTCTATACCGGGCCGATTATCGAGACGAGTGTGGGTGTCAGACCAAGCCATGGCTAGCATGGTTTTATCCCGACCTCGGGATCTGGTTCTAGATGTGTCTCCATTATATTAAGGTGCCTGGTAAAAGTGACATATCGTACATAACAGCTTCCCAGAAGAAAATCCTTCCATCCATCCAGTCCAACCACATATCATCCTCAATTAACCCTACACCAACCATCCCTCTTCCCCTCCTCCCACGGCAAAACCATCTTCCTCTCTTCATACGGATGATCCCCCCTCCTCGGCCTCCACATAACCGTATACTCAATCGGCAGCATAACCCTCTCGCACTCCTCCCACTCCGCCTTCTCTCTATCCGTTAACTCCCTCTCCGGAACAGGACGTACCTTATTCACAAGGACACGCCGAAACCCAAACTTCTCATACAGCGGGACCCCGAATTCCGAAGCGTCAAGCCACGCCTCGAGCCCGCGCTCGTCCGCGATCCGAATGCCCCAGTCCATGAACATCCGGCCGAGGCCGCGGTGCCGGTATGAGGGGAGTGTGAATGCAATGTGCAGAACTATCAAACAATTAGAGACGGGTTCAGTGCTAATTGTCGGGTAAGGAAGTGGGCTTTGGAGAATGGGAGGCGTACAAGCATGCCCCCTCCGCGCCATCTCCTCCCTCGGCCTCTCGAATATCCTCACAGCCTGCGTCGCGAATTCCCGCGACACACCCTCGGGGTACCAATCTGCAACCAGGACCTCCCCGTGCTCGTCATACGGATTGTCGTCGTAGAAGTACCATTTCGCAGCGGCTGCGATGCGGTTTTCGGATTGCGTGTCGACGATCTTGATCCAGGTGCAGTGCGGTTGGTGATGGTGGTATTCTTCTCGCTGGGCCGTGATGCACGCCTGTAGACTTGCTTCACGGTCGTTGTTGAGTATTGGCATGAAGAGGCGGAGGAGGCCTTGTCGTGGGTTCTCGAACGATTCCCATAGTGCGGTGGTTAGGGCTGGGAAGTCGGAGTCGGTTATGGGGTGGAGTTGGAATTGGGATGGTTTGGTCGTGCTCATTTTGATGGTGTATACCGGTACTGGGGAGAAGAACTCTGGTGGGATAAACGGTAGTTATATTAGATGGAGTGATGCCATACCTAGGTAGGCACGGCGTATACGCCAAACATACGACTGCGCTAGGGCAGGGATTCTGATCCGTGGACTTACTTGGTTCCGCGGGAATCACCTTACTAGATTAACTGATAACATGATTGGGAGATTGATAAGGTGCTCTATTGCGCACGGTCATTCTACTGTGGCTTAGATTTGCTGGGCAGTTTCGTGATTCTAGGCGATAGACCGACCGTCTGATCTGGTTGTGCTGGCATGCCACGCTCGCCTTGCCATAGCTTGGACCATATATTTGAATGATTAGATGGATAGCTTGATGCTATTAGCCCATTGAAGCTAGCCATGCAGCATTCTCTGATCATATACTAGGCTGGTAATCCCACGTCCTCACCCTCTTGGCCTTCCGCTCAGGCCGCCCCTCAACATGCCACCCGGTCTCGCACCCGTCAGGGTTACTCTCCAGCGTCTCTCCACAGCATGTAAACTCCCAGCACTCTTCATACCCCAGAACCCACTCGTCCGTGTCATCGACGCCGAAATCATTGTCGACCCAGATCTCGTCACCCGTGGGCTCGGGCTCGTCGTCTAGAATCAACCTCAGCACTCCGATTGAGCCAACAGGGAGATTGGATGGCTTAGACCTACCAGGGTGGTACTTGCACGCATAGCTCTTGTTCTCCGTGACGTCGAACTCATCCTTGCAATTCATGCAATATGCATAGCGAGCGATTTTCCTCTTGAGAGGCTTTTGCGCTGGCTCTGGCTCTGGCTTTGGCTCCGGCTCTGGTGCTTTCTCTGGTGCTGGTTCTGGTGTCTGCGTGTATGGCTGAAGCCCGGCGGGCGCTTGCGCAGGTATCGACACAGGTCGAGGAGCGGCGCGTGAAGCGACGCGTGCAGCGGCGACTGAAAGCATCAGCTGCATCTCGCGAGATCGGGCTGGCGCTGCAGGCACTACCTTTCCGATAATTCGAGGCAATCCTCGCTGCGGTACCAGACGGGTTTGCAGGCAACATTCGGAACATTCAGAAGCGTCATCGCGAACGGCCGGGGAGCTTTCCTCGGAGTTGTTATCTGAGTCCGCGTCCTCTTCAGACGCAACCGGCTCAGATTCGACTTCAGATTCAGAGACTTCAGGTTCCGTAGTGGCATCAGAGGTCAGCGACGATGCATCTGTATCGATATCGGACATGCCAATTTCGCGCTTCTTCCTGCTGTCGACGAGCAAACTCCAACCGGCTCTCTTGCGGGCTTCAGGAATATCCCCGCAGATAGATTTGAGTAGATAGCGGACCCTCCATTCATCAGCGTCGTCGATTGCGGCTTTGAGGGCCTCGAAGTCCTCATCTGACATTGTATCAGCCATCGACGAGGGCCTTATTGCTGGCTGTTGAGGTTGGTGCAGGTGTTCCATCCCGCCGTTGGCTGGTTTGAGAATATAGTTGCGCCAGGTTGGATCCAGCATATTAACTTTAGTTACATAAAGCGCTTTGCAATATATACTTTATTAAAGTAAAATAAAAATATATATTAATTTTTAAGTTATATTAACAAAGTAAATACATAGTGTAAAGTGGTTATATTTTATTTATAATAAATATACATAATTATTGCTATAAATTACTAGGTAAATATAGTTTAGTAATAGTAAATATAGGTTTATTAGGTTATGTATTTATAAATAAAGTTTATATTTAAGTTAATTTATTGCCACTTGTTAAACCTATTACTAAGATTATTTATATTACTAAGGTTATAATATATTTTAAAAATTATATAATAAATATTATAAATATAAATTGCAGGTAATTTTATATATTATATATAATATAAATTAATATTAACACGGTGTAATTACTACTAGTAATATATAATTACCCAGAGTTTATATACTGCAAAAATAGTGCTTAATAAGTTAGTTTAATAATTTTAATTTAGTGCTATTTATTATTTAGGCTAATTATATAAGCTATAGGATACTGCTACGGGATTAAAATAAATATAAATATAGGTAAAGATACTAATTTAATGCTAATATTAATACTAATATTTAATACTAATAAAAATTTAAGATATTAAGGGCCCGTGCGCTGCTATTTAAGTTAATCCTGGCTTATTAAATTAATACTAAGTTAGGAGCTATTAATATAATTACTAAGAAAATCCCATATTACTAATAAAGACCTATTACTGCAGGCAGTTAGTTAAAATTACTATTTATTATTATATATTATATATTAAGTTTAAAGTGTTATAAAATATTATTTTTAAACACAAGCTTATATCCAGGGAAGGCGTTCCGCGTAATGTTAATAAAGGGTAAGTTAATATATTATTAAATTACTATTATATTATCCTGTACTAAGTTTACATGTTTTTAAATAATATATAAAAAATTTATAAAAGTAATAATAAATTTATAAATATACAAGTAGCTAAGCCTTAGTAAAATTAGCTTTTTATATAGTTTAGGTATATTTTTAGTACCTTGGGATATTTTTATATATTTTATAAGTTATTTTTTTTTTTAATTATGGTATATGTTTAAAGGCTAGTAAAAATTAATAAGGTTATAATAAGTAAGGTAGCTAAGGTTATAAAAATATTAATTAATATAGTAAAACTATTTATTATTTATATAAACTTACCTTATAAAGCAGTTTTATAACTTTAATAAGTTAATATTATAAAAAGGTTAGTTAGCGCGGTAAAATTATTTGCTATTTACATAAACTTGCCTTGTAGAGTAGTCTTGTAACCTTAATAAATAAAGGTAAGTTTAATTATAGTAATTTACCTTATAGGGACAGCAAGTGTTATAACCTGGGATAAATAAAAAAAAATCTATGTATTATAGGGTGTTTAGTTTAAAAAATAAAGTAAAAATAACCTATTAAACATTAGGATAATATTAGGCATATATATTTAAATAAAGAAAAAAGTTAGTAATACCTTTTATAAAAAATAGGTACATAAGATCTTATTTAAATAAATTTTATTATAATATTAACTTATTATTTTAATTAGGAGCATAATTAGCAGTAGAAATAACTAGCTAAAATAAGTATATTATAATACACTAAAATTAAATTATAAACTGCTTAAAAATACTATATTAGCACGGCTAAGTTAGTAAGCTATTACTATGTAAGTTTACAAAGCAGCAAGGTGCACCACTATATACCTAACCTTAAAGTTAAACCTTTATTATTATTTATTATTTTTATTATTATCCGCATTATTATCCGCTGGGCAATATTTTTAGTATTATTTATATTATTCTTGGTATTACTCTTGGTATTATTAACACCTAGGTAATATTAGTATTAGCTTTAGTATTATTTTATTTACTAGGTAGTATATTCTAGGTTAGTATTATTTATATTATTTTTAATATTACCCTTAATATTATTTTATTTACTATTATAGCCTAATTAGTATTTTTAAAGCGTCCGCAAAGTAGCTATTAAGTATTAAGTTTTCTAGGGCTCTTAATTTATTACTATAATTTACTTTTTTTATTTTTTATTATGTTATTATTTTATTATAAAATTAAAAAATAACCTCGGGCTATTTAGCTTATTTTTTAGTATTATAAAAAAATTAAAAACATGTTTAGGGGTGTTTATTTATATTCTTGCTTAAATTAAATTATATAATATTTATATAAATAAAGCAGTACCGCAAAAGGCTAAAACTTAGGTTTTTATAATAAAAGTTTATTAACTTACCTATTTTCTTAATACTTTATTTACTGCCTGGATAAAGTTAACTTAGCTTTTAATTTTTAAATAGGTTAAAATATTTATTGCTATTACAGGAATCTTAAAGGCAGTTAATTATTACTAAACACTAAAATATAAACTAGGTCTAAACTAGGTGCTTTTAAAGGTAGGTAAATAAAAAATCTAGTATCCTAGTTAAAAATACTATAAAAATTAATACTATAATAAAAAATTAAGGCCTAGATAAAGCCTGGTAAAAAAAAAAAAATATACCTAGTAATACTTAGTAACACATGTTAACACCTACTTAAAAATTCTAGCTATTAAAATATATCTAGTAATAATATACTAGGGTATTTTAAGGTATTAAAAAAAATAGCTATAAATAACTATGGATAAACTTAGGTATAGCTAAAAAWTTTTTTAAAATTATTTTTAAAGTTAATAGGTGTAATTAGGCCGTGAGCAGGATAAGGGTAAATAAAAAAAAATAACCTTAGTTACCGCGAAAAAAGGCGCATAATTTATATTAATTTTAAGATTAGTAAGGCCTTTTTTAAAAATATAAAATTTTATATAGGCTAGCTACCTAATTTTATATACCTTTAAAATTTAAAAAAAAAAGTAAGGGGGTACCCTTACTCTCCGCCTTACTAGCTAAATTTTATATATTTTACTACGCCTAAGTTTATGGATTTAATTAAGCCTTTTTTCGCGGGGCTTAAACCTAAAAAAGTTAATATAATAACTTTAATTCTTGTAATATATAAGGGTAAAGTTTAATAAACTACCTAAGCTACCTTGGCCAGTATAAATTAAAAAACTATAATTATTATATATATTTATTTTATGGTATTTTATCCCCCGGGCTATTAAATTAAGTCTAATTTATTTATATTAAATTAATATTTATATTAAATTATATTAGTAATTGCTATATCCATATTTATATCCTTTTAAATTACTGCTATATTTTTACCTAAAAAAACTCTATATTTTAATTATAATATATTATTATAGTATTAGTAATGCTAGCTATAGGTAGCAAGCTATTTAAGGTAAATTAAAGCAGCGCTGCTAGTAGTGTGTTTAAAATTAAAACTAAATAATAAAATATTATTTTAATAAACTAAAGGCTAATCACAATCTTTTTTTTAGTTTTTTATATATAAAATAAATCTAAAATAGTATCACGCGGGATATATTAATATAAAATTACTAGTATTAAAAACATAAATACTTGCTGTTTCTTGTTTACAAGCTAATAAATAAAAAATAATTTAATTTATTTTATAAAAGCTTTTTAGTACATAATAACGCTACCTTATTAAAATATATATTACCTGCCCCTAAAAGCATTAAAAGTAACTTAGTAAAGGTACTTAAAGTAAATAATATTACGTAAGAGCAAAAGTCCATGGCTAGAAATAATATTAAAAGGTAAAAATAAAATAAAAAAAAAAAATAAAATAAAGCTAACCACTACTTATTACATGCTTATAGTAACCTGCCTGTACTATTAAGTATTATTTAGTATTTTTATAAAGGGTAGGAATTTATATTTAGCATAATATACTAAGTAAATACTATTAATAAACTAATAAAGTTTTAAGGCCTGGTAAAGCTACTTTAAAATATTTATTTAAGCCTGCACCTTGCTGCTAGGTATAGCAAATAATAATAAAATATTTTTATAAAAAAGTAAATTTAGTAATAATATTAAACTAAAGTACCCCAAGCCTTTTTTTTTATTATTTTTGTTTTTTTTTAATAGCCTAAAATCAAGTAGCTATATTACTTTAAAAACTATTAAATAATACTACGCGAGATTTTAAAGTTTTAAAGTTAAAATATTATTATTTTTTATTATGCTGTTAAGAAAAAGTTGCATAAATATAAAAAGGTATTTATTAAAAAGTAAATCTTATTTAGGTTCGCGGTAATTTATATAATAAATTTAATTTTTAAACACCCTAGGAATAGTAAATTATTAGTTTTTATTTTTAATATATATAAAAATAATATTTAGTTAGGTAATTTAAAATACTTATGCGTAAAACAGGTAAAAAAAGTTAGGATATAAAATTTAATATAAACAGGAACACTGGAAGCTAAAAATATTAATCTTTACTATTAATATAAAATAAAATAAAAGACTTAGATTTAAAACAAGAGACTAGAATAAACTAAAAGTACTAAGTAACTATAAATTATATAAACTTACTTATTCTTATGTTTTTTAATAAAAATATTATTATTTTATAAAGTTATATACTTAATAAACTACACGGGATAATAAAGTCCTATATATATATTAGGCCACTACTAAAGGGCTTTTATATCCCTATTTTTTTTAGTTTTAATTAGCCGCCCTAATACAAGGCTAGTTTAATTACTTTAACTACTAGCTAGTGTTATCTCCTAATCTAATACTATTATTATAATAAATTAAAATTAAGATTAAGACTAAGATTAATATAATATAATTTTTTTTACTATAATAGCAATAGCTTTAGCTATATATTAAACTTTGCTTTATGCTTGCTTAATTATATATTTAAGCTAAGATTAGTTCTTAAACTTTATAAAATATTACTAAATTATACTATTACTCCGGGTAATAATAGTA